TACAAAGTAAGTTTTTACACAAAAATGATCTTTTAAACTTACTTTGATTCCATAATTAAGTGTATAGAATATTGCAATATCTACATGTTTAATTATTAGCTGAAAGTAAGTTAAAAAGGCCACTTTCTTCAAAAATTGCTCCAAATAATTCAATAATATAAGTTATATAGTTGTGAATTAAAGATTCCTAATCTAGATCATACGTGTTAGTAAATATTTAATCGTTTCGATTGAAGTCTTTCATTTAACACTATGTTTCCTATGCTTCCTACTGAAGGTATGAAAGAAATATTTCAATATATTAAGAAAAATCGTTTATTTTTCTTTTTATGAAAATAAATCGCTTGTGTTAATATTGTTTAATTGAAACAACAGGGCCCTTTAATACATGTTTTCATGTATCATTTTCATTTACTTGTTTGGTGTTTTTACCTATCAACTTATTCTTTTATGGTTTTTTATATCTTAGCTTTGTTTCTGAATAATGTGCTTTTTGCAGTTAACTTATTAGCTTTTAAATTTATCTTGGAGAGCAACCTCATTTTTGATAGAGTCGGATTGATAGAGCTTTTCTCGTAAATATTTTCTCAAATCATGAATTCTCTGTTTACCTAACCAGTGTCCAGTTCGAGGATAAATTTTAAATTCAACTAAATAATCATTGTTCATTAAAATTTCTACGCTGGCTTGACTAACCCAAAGAGGAACTAATTTGTCCTTTTCACCATGGCAGATTAGCACAGATGTTTTGTGCTTTTTATTTTCTGCTAATTGACAGGCACTTTGATACAAAGGCAAAATACCTGATAAGCAAATTACCCCACATAAAGCATGAGGAAAAGTTAATTCAGCAGCTAGGGCTATTGAACCTCCTTGAGAATAGCCAACCAGAAAAATATTCCATGGGGAAATTCCGATTTCGATTTCTTCTTGAATAATTTGGTGAATGGTTTGATAACTTTTCAATAGATCTTCTTGGTTAATTTTAACTATTCTGTCAATTTCTTCCAATGAAATAGGCGATAAAATATTTTGCAAGGTGCTGCCATTCATGCTATACCAAGACTCAGTGGCAAATGATTGCGGGAAAATAAACTTAGTTTGAGAAAATTCCTTCCTAGTTTTTTCATCAAAGACAATTTCTCCTTTAGTTTTAGCTAAGTATGTGCCATGTAAAAAAATACATATGGGCGAATATGCAGAATCATGCGGGCCCATGCAACAGTAGACGTAGTGCCCCAAAAATTTTATAGAGGGTCAGGTCGTATGACATCCGCCTCTCACAAAAAATTTATATGCTGCGCCAAAATGTTACATCGAATTTTTGAATTTGAACTACATAGTGTTGCTATTTCCAATAACTTAGTGAATGAAATTCGATTTGTTTGGTAAAAAATCCTGTTTTGTGTAAAACGATTGCTTACAAACTTGCCTGTTAATACATTTTCATGATTAAATCCAACGAGATTTCAGCTTGACCGATTTTAAAATAGTTTTTTCTAATTATAAAATAGATGAAACTTTTGTTAATAATGGGATTGTGTGAATATATGATAAAAATAATCTTGAAGAAAAGTTTCTCAAATTAGCGCCAGTTTTCTTTACCTAAACTTAGCTTCACTGATTCGGTAACAATTTTCTGAACCTAAATAGGTTTAACTTCACAGTTGAACATTTGTTTGATTGATTTGCTTGGCTCAACGTTCCGGTAACTTATTTTACCGCTAGTATATTTTTCTAACGAGATCTTAGCACTGATATTAAAATAGTTTTTTCTAATTATAAAATAGGTAGAATTTTTATTAATAACAATTTTAAAGGGTTAATTGCACAAAAATATAAGACTATGTATAATATGCGACAATAACAACCTTGAAGAAAAGTTTCTCACGAAGAAAAACAACCAGAATAGGGGAATTGGGCTTTGAACTGGTTTTGCTCGATTTCAAAACGAATTAGTACCAGAATGGGCGAACTTCAAATTTGTACAAGAATAGGCAAGTTGATACTGGAATGGGTAAACTTGGTAGCGGGATAGGCTTAAAACTGGTTTATGATAAGTACCAGTTTTCTTTTGTACGTATGTTTTTTCATTTTCAATCGAAGAACTAACTAGCTTTCCTTCTTTTTTTTGTAGGCCTTGGTTTTTAGAACACGAATTTAGTAATTTATAACGAAAGGTACACGAGCGTGCAGTTATTTTGATATAATTAACAGTTATATTCGTAGGTTACGTAAAGTATGGTGCCGTAAATAGCTAATTACTAAAATTATATTTACTACATATATTTTTATAAAGGCTTTTAAAAGCCGTAATTGTAGTAGTAATTACTACATATAATAAAATAAAGGCTTTATAATTTATCGCTATAGCGATGTATCGCTACCCCCGGGTCTGTGTTAGCATTCTGAAATTAAAACCTCTGAAGTCAAAATCCCCGAAAGTCAAAATCCCGAAACTTAATCACCACGTCACGTGAAGTCGGGGTTCAATATTCAAAATCAGAATACGATTAGTAATATAGGTTACTAATCGTATTCAGAGTTTGAATATTGAAATCCCAAATTCACGCAACGTGGGAAGTAGCGATACATCGCTATGGCGATAAAAAACAATTTCCATAAATATTACTATATGTAGTAATATTTACTACATGTGGTAAATATTATTACAATTACTACTTTTGTATATTTTTTTTTTTTTTTTTTCCAATTATTGGCAGCCTTGCCGGTATCTTTATTAGATCAAAGCATATATATACATATATTT